GTGGTACAGAAAATGTCTGATACATTTCACTACCTCCTCCTTAGTAGAATAAACATTACTTTTTAATCAAAAGGAAAGTTAATATAGACACAGTTCCTAGAAGTTCAAAACACACTCGAGTGACTCGTAGGAACTTCCTTAAAAGTAACCAGAAAACAAGAATGTCCTGTCATTGAAGAGAATGATTTTACACATTTTAGGAGGAACCAGATTCCAGCAGGGTACTCTTTGCGTAAGTTGCTCTGCAGGATTTTCATTGAGCTTTTCACTGAGTACTTCTCAAATTATTCAGAATTTGCCTTACTATTCGCCTACATTACGGGAAAAAATAGAGATGCGAAAATTCAAATCTCTAACTTCCGAGACTAAAGTGGTTATAAATTGAAATTGTGATGGAATTGTAAAATAGAAATTGAATGGGTTTTATCAATATACCCTCAATGAAATTCTTCTTAAGCGGTCAGCAAACGTTCGGGCAAAAATTGGCTATTAATAAAGAAAGGCGGCGGCTTCATGAAAGTTATGGTTACTGGAAGTGTAAATCAAATTTAATTGTCCTAATTGCTATGAAAAGTATTTTCTCTTTACATTTAAAACGATTAAAAAAAGGAATTTATTATAGTTTGCCCTCTCTCGGCTAATATCAAAACACACCCTTCGTTGTAACTCATTAACCTAGTCGAGAAAATCCTGTCCGCCCTCGTCGAATCGAACAAGCAAACTAAACTTAAAGATGCATTTTACATTCTGTAGAAACTTTATACAGAGCCATCTGCAGGACCCACAAATGATCTTCAGATCGGATTCACGCCCGTGGCGTGCTCCGCGAGTCCTTAACTGACTCCCACAGACGGGAAGAACTGGTTAGCAATCCTTAGGATTCCTGTGAAATGGGCTAAGCCAGCCCTTTATTCTTTCATTAAGATATATTTATTAAAATAATCTGGTGTTACCTGAAACAAATTAATCCCACTGCGAGATAAGAGACTCTGAATGTCACTGTTAGATGTAATCTGACAATGCATGCCGTTGCAGGAAGATACCGAATATTCAGTAATCTCCGCAATATTTTCGCTTCATATTCAGTTTAAAATTGCTTGAGTTGATCGGTTAAAAAGGTCCATCTACAAAATTTGCGTGATTGTGTAACCAGGTGACGGTTGAAAGAGGGACTATTGTGCCTCTTTCTTGACATTCGTGCCTTAGGGGAAAATCAATCGGTTTGATGAAAAAATTTGGTAACCGCTTAACCCAGGTGACCGTTTAAGAAGGTTTCACTGTTGTAAAATATATTGTGCCCTGTGTCTGGGAGACACCCAGAACCCGACGTGTAGGTTCGCGCCGAAACTAACGTTCCGGCTACCCCACAGCTCGGGATATAATATGCACCATGTTATCAGGAGAATGATCCAGAATTTATTTATAGACAGTCAGTTCTGTTTTTATAGTAACATTTATTAACCAACGTTTTTAAATAAATCCTGTACCATTCTCTTGATGAGTTAAACAGACAGTCCAGGATACTAACATAACATACACTACTGTTACAGGACTAATGACCTACGCAAGTAATTGATGCGCTAATACTTCTTTCCTTCTCGCATCCGCTCCTGATTGCTTGAAATCGTGCGCTACCTGATGGCAAAGGTGGCTTAGCACATCAACTGATGTCACTGCAGTGCCTCTGTTCGAGATGTCCTAAGGTTCGAGTCCCGACGGTAAAGAATTTTCGACAGGAGCTTGTTAGCTACTTTAGCCGCTGTCTGGAGAAGAATACTGCTGTGATCGGTAGTTTTTCGTGATTTCTCTGATCAAACCCAGTCGAATGCCGCAGTAGTACCCTAACAAACGGGCCACGGACAGCGCGCGATCTTTCTTTCCACTTCCTTGTCCTATCCCCACCCCTTACTCACACACACACTTGCATGCACTACACTACCACACATGCGGGTAGACCGGTCGGGAGCTTAGAGCTCGTCCCGGCTGGTTCGGTGCCCCGCTGGTGGAAGACACCTGGTTGGGGAAAATCCCCTGAAGTCGACGTAGGTAGGCACTGGATCTCACGTTTCAGCAAAGTAAAAACACCGCCTCAGCTCGGGATATAACATGTCCCGTACTATGTTTACGGGACTAATAATCTAAGCAAATTATTTACACACGCATTTCCTTTCCGCATCCGCTCCTGATAGTTCGCACCTTCCACCGATAAAACATGTATTACACTTACGGGACTAATGACCTGACCTGTTGACGCGCCTGGAAGCACTAATCAAATTGAGTGCTTGGCTGTGTGCGCAGGCGGCGGCGGGGGCGGCGAGGGGCCGGCGGAGCGAGCCGTGCTGCGCTACGAGCGGACGGGTCGTGGCACAGTGCAGCTGCTGTACCGCGGCTACAGCTTCCAGGTACTCCCCTGCAACTACGCATAAAGCCTTTAGAAAAGTCAAACAACGATCTTTTTTTTCTTTCTTTCTTTCTTTTCTTCGAAGTGGTCTTTCCTCTAAATTCTGCTGCAGAATATTACTTTATCGAGATGGTGTAGTTTGCTCTTTTAAATATTGATTGTATTGTTTTGGAGCTTCAGTACATGGGATAACTTGTTTGATGTTTCATTCCAACATTAAGTGTAATTATCTATACTATTTGGGTTTAAACAAATTAATTCAATTATTTATTTTTCTTTTATTGACGTCGTACAGCAAAAAACGACATACATTGAATAAATGTCATTCTTCAAATAGTAAAAATTGTTGTTTTCTTATAGAGCCGGTACACTTGAGCATCAAAGACAGGTTTCAGCTGTGACAAAGGGTATTTTATCATTCGCCTAATTAATAAATAAAATAATTATTGATAGGACTACGCGATTCCCAGGAAAAAAAAATATTATTCCTCATGAAAAAGAACTGACTCGGTCGTCTGTGTATCTATCGATTAATATTGATACGAATTTGTAGAACCAATAATAAATGTGGAAACATTTCTGGTGGACAAATTTTGTGAGAAATGCGAGCAACAGAACCGATGGTAAGATTAGTATTTTATATTATTAATTTTTTTACATAAGTTGTGAAGTTAGAGGACGTCTTGAATAAAATTCGAGATAGAACTCAAATATAAGATTGATGGTTTCTACATAAAGAATACATAGTTTTTACTTTCTTCAAAATCGATTGAAAAATGTCAACACTAACGCGAGAGAGACAGGCAAGAAGAAACAAAATGCTACCAACAAAGAAAAATGACTATTATTTCAGATTGTTATAAATGAAAATGCTCTACAATCCCCCTCTCGGAAGGATCACATAATTACTAATGGTCTTTACGATTTGATATCATTTTCTCGAGTTGATATATATATATTATATATATATATATATATATATATATATATATATATATATATATATATATATATCAGATGAATACTTCCGTCCTCCACTTTTTCTCGAATAAAATGATGACGTGTGACAGTGATAAAATGGTGATATGTAGTTTTCAGCGATAGCAGCTTGACTCTCTCACCAAAGTATTCTCCGTTAATATAATCAAGTTATATTAAAGAAACGTCACAGAAAGCTATGCGGCGTCCAAATGGCGTCGAAAACGTTCAGTTTTAGCGTCTTGTTAAATTACGTGTTTCGATCATGTGTACGTTTTCTTTTCCATCAACACACACTTTTCGCGCATACTTGGGCCCATAACCGGTGTTGAAGTTAGAGGAAGCATTGAATAAAATTCGAGATTGAATTCAACTATAAAATTGATGGTTTATTGTATATAAAGAATACATAATTTTTACTTTCTTCAAAAACGATCGAACAATGAAAACGCGTAACGCGAGAGAGAAGGCAAGAAGAAGAAAAAAAATGCTACTGACATAAAGAAAAATGTCGGTAATTTCAGATCGTCATTAATGAAATTAGTTTACAATAAGCTGAAGCGAATGTTTCCATACACTCTGTGGAAACCACATATACATGAAATAGACTGAACGGACCATAGATGGTTAGTTCCAGAATCGGCTGATCAATTGTTTTTTTCGGTCGACTGACCTAAGTTGGTACGTAGAAAAGGGACTACTCTGTCCGCCTTAAAGCAATACTGATCAACGTCTTGGTCGAAGATTTCCTGGTCTATTGTTCCTCTCATCGCCTAAGTGGCGTGTTGCCGAAAGTGCAATTGTGCAACTCTTCCTCACCAAGACGGCGGATTGACCTCTACTGGAGACGAGGCGTCGTCCATGACCGGGACCTCCCTTCCAGCGGCGCATTGTGTACTTGTGTGTGTGTGTGTGTGTGTGTGTGTGTGTGTGTGTGTGTGACGCGTAGGCGCCGTGCGTGCCGCAGGTGGACCGGCGCTCGGGCCCGCGCGTCTTCTGGCGCTGCGCGCAGTACCGGCGCGGCTGCCGCAGCCGCTGCGTCACCGTGGGCGGCGCCTACATGCGCGGCACGCAGCCCGTGCACAACCACGGCCCCCCGGGCGCGCCGCCGCCGCCGCCGGCCACGCCCACGCCACTGCCCGCCGCACCCGCCCTCAGCCATGCGCCGCCGCCGCCACTGCCCGCCAGCCCGCCCGCGCCGGACGAAGGCGCGGGACCCATGGACGAGGACGACGCCCCCGCGGCATCGCCGCTGGTCTCCATTGAGTCCTCGCCCTTTGGGGACGGCGAGTATATCGACCCTTGAACTTAGCCACTTGGGACCAGGCCTGCCTGCTTTTTACGGCTCAACAGCACTTGGCCTATCTCTGGCATCAGTCGTAGAGTTTTTCTAGATCAGTGGAGGACTGACCATCCGAGGGTATTTGATCAGCTCAGCGCTCGGCCCTGTGGTTGTACAAGGAGGACAGGGCAGGGAAAGTAGGATCGCGCACGTTCTTATTCCAGGGTAGTGTTCCTGCATTCGCCTGGAACTTATCATGGAAACCACATTTGGCCTACGAATTCGATTTCGACAAATCCCATAAACTCAATGATGCTAAACGCATCAAGCAAATTTACGACTCCTGGCGGGAATCGAACCCACGACCCCGACGCCAGAACACTCGAGCTGCCAAGTGTTGCCTTAACGTTCGTCGGACTAAACTTTATAAACTACTCAAATGATGTTTTGGCTGTTCAAAGAATTGGCTGCCTAGTTCAGAATAGAGGATCAATACAGGTAATATATTCCGTACTTAATTGTACTAGTGAACAAAGCTGACAAGGTGAATATCCTTATAAATTAATATCATGCGAATGGACTTTTCCAAACTACTTCTATTTTTAAATTAATTTTCTCCTAATTCACTGCATCACGGAAGCCCGTTGCGGCGGGTCCAAAGGTATTTTTGAATCACTCATAGAAGGTCAAGGCAAAAATAAATATTTTCATGCAATGATTAACATTCAATAAATGACAGCGTAGAACTTGCAGTTTCAAAGAGTGCAGTGAATGAGACAAGTCTCTTATGGAATATAAACAGTCATTCAACCCGGAACGACTCTATTACGAGTATAAACTGAAGCAACCAAGCAAGTGAGAATTTCTAAGCAGGAACATCGATCTTTAGCATATCCAGTTGCGTGAAGTGGAAGGAAAGGAAACTTGCTTGATGCATGAAGTCATCTTCTTGTTTTAACTTTTCAGGCCTGACGTGTTGTGTCTTCATTATCTGAATTATCTGGAAGATTTACTGAGCTTGACGTACACCTGAGATAGAAAAGTTATGAGCGCTGCTCTTTAGTTTTCATCTAAGATGAGAAACTTTCATATTTCATCCAATCATTTTACCCACCAGTCTTTTTTTCTTGTCCTTCATCAGTACTATCTTTCCCGTCCTTATTTCTTCAATGCGCACGAGAAAAAAATTTAGTAGAAAGGTCACGAAGGGGTTGCATGAAGAGAAAGGAAGAAGAGAAATTACCTTTTTCTTTAAGGTATTGACCCTGTTAAAACTTGGTCTTTGTATGCAGGATATTCGAATGCAGATAAGGAGTGCATTTGATTCTGGCCTGTGATATTTTCTTTGCAGATTAGTTCATCCGAAGCTTGGCGAATGTGGTAAGGATTATGTTTCCAAACTTAAGCCATGAATTTATTGAGGAAAAGTTTTTAGAGTAAGAAGACAATTCCTCGTATTATTTTTCTAACACTTTTGAATGTTTTCACCAATGAGGACTATTGGGAATGTGTATGCTCTGACTATGGAAATCTAATGTCTATCGATCTGATATGTTAATTTTGTATGGTGACAAAAAGTAAAGAAAGGGAATGTGGAGAGGTAAACAGAAAATTGGCTTGTAAGAAGATATTTTAAGGACAGGAAAATGGCTAAGGTCAATGTCAAGTCATTTCTAATTTGTTAAAAATATTCTTAAATGATATCTACTGGAGTCGTTTTGGCACTTTTTTTCTCTTTGATGTTTAAAAATGCCATAAATAAAGTGCCATCAGTGCGTGAATAAATGCTTGATGTGAATATACATGAGATATAAACTACTACTCTGTTTATAGAGTATGACACTTCTGTCATAGAGGTGTACCCAATTCTTCATATTGCTATACCTATCTAGTCATGTCATTTCTATGCAATAAATTTTGTGCAAAAATATATTTTTAAGATGTGGAGTTCAGTGATGAATATGAATTAACACGTATGTGATTTCTTTCAAATGTGTATCTTCTTGTGCAGATTTTGTCAATGTTCTTAAGGTGATTAAAGTAATTTTATATTTAGTTCGTTTGTTGCCTTGAATTTTCTATACACATTTGATCATTGTGACATACATACAAATCGCCTCGACTACATTTTGAGATAGAAATCATCTTTTGAAAAAACACTTTATTATACACTTTAAAAGACAACGAAGTGATGAAAGTCGGATTGATATTTTAATTGAATCATTTCCTATTCCTTTTTTCCTTTAATATTTCCTTGCTGTACGTAATATTGAAAAGTATGTTGTTTCAAAGTCAATTACCTTCAAGATGTTCCTTTAACACTGACAATGTGCTTAGTAAGTAGTAATTGCTGGCGGAGAGCAATTAGCCATATGCACTCGACAAGCTTTCTGCCTTCCCCTCGCACACATCCTATTTCATTCGCGATTGTGGCCTTGTTTGAGCTCCACACCCATTCCTACAACCTTACACGCCATGCACCCTTCATAATTCATTCGCAGACAAACCTACCGTTCTCCGAAACCAGATGGTGAAAGTTAGGACAGGAGACTACTGGCTCCAAATTTACAGGTCAGGAGGAGAAGGGATTACGCAATGGAAGGAAGATATTAACGTGCTTTCAACGCATCTGAATGAGACGTGAAAATGGTCTAGTTTCAATATTAAATAACCAGGAATTCAATTGAAGCATTTGGTTGTCAAGAAAATTTTACTTTTGTGTTGTTATTTAGATAAATTTACATTATTTCGTTGTTTATTGTGAGAAAATTGCGAATTTACATAACTGTAAAATTTGCACAAATGTGCATTTTCGGCATATAAATAACTTTAAGCCCAAAGGGGCCTCGGCCAAATTTGAAGAACACTTCTCTTTTCAAAGCACAACCTTACTTCGTGGTCAGACTGCACTGGGAGAAGGCTCACCTCACACCCCTGCCACAAAGCATCTGGCGCACAACAAAATTAATTAATGGCTACATTGAGATCGTCATATACAGCTTAATTCGTGATGATGATGATGATGAATTGCAATAGTGACTTGAGAATTGAAATGCAGTCTATTGTCAGGGCGTGTAATCATTCGATGTCTAATATTGTCCATGAAATTTGTGAAACTGAATATTTTATTAGTTTAACATGAAGTAATTTCGGTGTTCATTCACAAAGAGTAGTGAATCTAGGGGCCTGTCAAACTTTAAAGATTCTAGAAAAGGGGTTGAAGATCAATAGTTGGCGGGTAATATTGTGAGTGAAATTCGCACTTAACTAGCTACAGTAAGTATGAGGTTAGTTTTTAAATTTAAATTATTCCTTGGTTTTTGAAATTCAAGTTTCTGCGATAAAGTATTGTTCAAACTTTTTTATCAGCTTCTTAAGATTTCTGGGCCAAAAATTAAAAAAAATCTCATAACAAAATAAGTCAAGAAGGAACTTTTCCTGAGGGTGCTGTAGAGAGACATATGAACAGAACACGTTTGGTTTATTATTATAATTGTTATCTTTTCACTAGCAAATGTAATAAATAAAATGTTTTACGGTTTCATTATACATCTTTATTTTTGCTGAAGTATAGCTTATTACAACTGCTACATATGAGAGGTCCAAAATCTTTTCACAAGACCTTGACCTGAAGAGCACCTGCTGCTCTATTGGTCCTGAGATTCTGACTACTTTAAGATGAGTGCGCGATTTCTTGAACTGTGGGCGAGGACCACCTCTCTCAAGAGGTCAGGGATTGTGCTGTGCTGCGCTGCGCCGCGCCGCTGATAAAATATCTCTTTGTTTGACCCACCTATTTCTAAATATCTTCAATCACAGAAATTGAGCTTGGTTATCTTGTTCTCATTTCGACCAAACGAGTCTTGTGAAAGTGAGACAGAATGACACATTTCTGTGAAAACCAACACAACTGGTTGGTTGAACCAAACTATTTTTCTGGTTCTTTCTAAACTACCTCGCCTGAGTGCGTTTTTCACCAATTCTGTGAAATCTGAATTTAATTTTAGTGTTTTTCTTTTGTTTTTACCCCCCTTTCCCCGTTGTCGTTCGTTCATATACTATAGCAGGGGTTCCCAATGGGGTCGGTATCAATCCACTGGAGATCGATTATATTTTTAACGGGGGTCGATATCCAAATATGCATCTCTGACTAATTGGTACAGAAAAGAAGGAAGATTTCATTGATTACAAACATTTTGAAGAACATTTATTATTTTTTTACTTATATAAATCTACATGTTATAATAAATTACGAAGTGACTTATCTTTTGGAATTTCGCGACAATCACATTAATAATATACAACTTTAGGGCAAGTAAAACCTTTAATTTTCTTTTTGAAAACTTTTATACATTTTCGAGTTTAAAAATATTAATAGTCCAAAAAATTTAATCTAACGATTCTTCCAAACCTTGTTAATATTAATGTGTTATCTTTAAGTCAGTTATGTTTATTTTGACAATTTTGCGTGCTGCATGTTCGAGAAAAAAGTCTGAAGAGGGTCGATTAATTATACCACACCCTTGTTTTAAAAAGGGTGGTGGAACCTCCTGTACTAAAGGTCCATTGCCCAGAAATAGGAACTTTGGCTACACTCAAAATCAAGAAAAAATCAAAAATAAAGACTGAGCCCAATTTCGGGATGAAAACTTCTAAAACATTTACTAAAAAAAAAAAAAGTTCAGCTTACAAATAGGGAAAGACACTTAATACTTGTATCCTATAAACATTGTTACAATCTGAAACTAGTGATACTAAATTTCATACATTCTCAAATTACACAAGTCAGCAAATAAAAATCTAAATATAATTTTTATACATTTTCTTACAGATTTCAACGTGATAAAAACGAAAAAAAGAAAAAAAATATTCCTGTGAACGCTAAAACTAAGACTTTTCACATTAATATCAATATAGCTTAAATTGACAATAAATGAAAAAAATGGTAATGGTTGAATAGAGTAATGGTAGGGGTGGTGGATAAAGTAGTTTTAGGGTTCACAGGTAGATCGCATGGCCGTGTGAAACGGGTTAAACGTTGATAGTAATATAAGCATGTTTAGACTTATCTGGGGTACTAGGAATAAATATAAACAATCTGTTGTTGGATTAGATCATGTTTCAATAAGCAAAATAAATTCAATCTTTTACCACATTCAGTTTATATTCAGCATTCAAATGATACTGTGATTGTTATTTCATTTCTGAAATATGGCTTCATGATGATGTGAAATTTCTCCTGAGAGCTTCTGTAATATATGGTGAATACATAGTAAAACGTCAACAAAGAAACAAGTGAGTTTATGAAGAAAGTTGATTTTGCGTATATCAAATTGAAACCTGGAGATTAAGACAAAACATGGGCACCGCATAAGGTTTGCAGATGATGCGAGAAAGATCTTCGTTTGTTGTGTAAGGGGAAAATAAAATATCTTACCCAACCTTGTCTCAGTTATTCGTCCAGTGTCCCATGGTTCTGAAATGCCAATTCCACAGCCACTTTCTAATTTAGATGACATCTTGAGTGAGTCAGAGGACTCAGGTGCATTAGCTTCCCAGAACGAATCTAGTTCAGATTTTTATGTTGACGAAAGACTTCAACTTTTTTTTCTCAGAGTGAGTACCACTACCTAGAACGAGACTTAGGTTTTTAAACAATACAGCCGAATTACTAGAATCAAGGCTGAAAAGCAAAAACTTGCTGTCGTCTGGAACCTCATGTTCGTGGTACAGGCATCGCGAGAGAGAATTTACTTTTTTCTCGTCAGAGGGAAATCAGGTTTATTGGAATGATGTTCATGGGCTCATAAAGTGCTTTGAAATAGAATATGATGAATTAGAATGGCGCATACTAATTGATTCGTCTAAACCTAGCCTCAAAGTAGTCTTGCTGCGTAGTGAAAGTGGATTTGCATCTCATCTTTTTGAACACTCGGTTCATATGAAAGGAAACTATAACTACTTGGCTACGATCCTTGAGAAAATCAGATGTCAAGAGTATAAATGGATGCTTTGCGGAGATTTCAAAATAGTAACCATTTTGTTGGGTCAACAGGGAGGTTATACAAAATATCCTTGCTTTCTTAGTTTATAGGTTATTTTGTCCAAATGCTCTGGACAAAAAGTTATTGACCTCCTCAAGACAGTTTAATCCTCGGCGAGAAAAACGTCATCAATACGCCTTTGGTTCGCCCAGAACAAGTATTATTACCACCTCTTCATACTAAATTGGAGCTTATAAAGCATTTTGTCAAATCACTGCCGAGAGATAATAATAATAATATTTATTTATCAAACAGGCAAACGCCCAAAAAATCATATAATAAAAGTTTTATGAATCAATTATACAATAATAATAATAAGGTACAGATATAAGATAAATGTGGAGCATACAAATTGTATCAAAAACAATAGGTTGATATAATACACTAATTGTAATCAAATAATATACTATTTTTTGCAAGTTTTAAAGTTATTGATAGGTAACGATATATTGATGTTATATTCATCAGAAATTCGGCACATTCTCCATAATGTCGCATGATAATACAAATTTGTTCTCGCAGTAGGTATAAAAAACATAGATAATTCTGAATTATTTCGCTAATTTCCAACAGGAATCTTCCATAATAATTTAGACAGAAGTTCACCACTATCTAATTTATAATTAATCAATTTACACAAAAAAATAATCATTATATTTTCTAAATGAGATAGGGGTTGTTTAAGATATTTGTTCCCAAAACTGTCTGAAGCCATGTTTAAAGAGGGAGGGACGAGGTCCAGACACAGACCCAAGTATCAGAGGCGCGTTGTGGGTTGTAACACGCTTTTTTCGTTGTTGATCTCGAATTCTGCCGTCCGCAAGGTGGCGATGTCACTAAGAAGTTGCTCCGTGTAATTCAGGAGTAAGTTGTAATAGACCTATGCTGTTGATATGCAGTTTTTACGAAGCGCGGCGCACATCGGCGTTTGCATCAGAAAAGACGATCATGTCCACCCCATAGGAAGTCATGTAAAACGAAATGCCT